CATCTTTCTCTTTGACACCATGTCTGAAATCCCACGTGATCTGTCAAATACTAATGCATGAAAATCCTAACCTCAAAAAAATCACCCGTTAGGTTGCCCATGGTGCCACCTCGTTTTATTACAGTAAAAGGCCTTAAAGTTAGACATGAACCTCGGAAAGCACAGGACCACAAAGCTAATGCGCAATTATTCGTCTTGTTCTACATGCTACTTTTGCTCCACAGTGGCCATAGTGATAAGAGTATCGTTTTAGACACTAGAGCCTTGTTTTTGCTTACAATGTGCAGCGGATTCAGGTCTAGAAGCGCCTCGGGAGATGCGGTAGGTATTTTCCGTCTTACCTAAACAAACGTTGTCTGGCCGTCAAAAATTCTCGTGCCAATACAATTTGTATGAAGCATACCTAAATAACGCGCCATCAACGCTGAGCGGTTGGACAATCCGATTTTGACAGGGATATAGGAAGTGAAGTATTTCACACAAACAAACCTATGCTTATTGTTGGTATTATTTCTGCATTTAGAGCTTTTTTTAAGGTATGGCAATTACTAGGGATGTCTATAGAGATGATGACATAGAGATGATGGGATGATGATGATGATCAGCAGATGGAGCCAACATGTGTCAGTTTAGGGTTGGGAAATGGGTCTGTACATCCATCTCAATTTGGTTATTATGTCCTAGTCTCTTCCCAGTAGCTTTGGCAGGTCGAAATAGAACACATGCAGTGGGATTCTGACAATCGATTCGCTAAATTGTCAGCGCCATAATTCTTCAAATGAAAAAAGTAAGGCCTAAAGGCATATAGCATAATGAAGTAACAGACGCGGTACGCAATCAGCCAAATCTGCCGTATAACTAGATGTGCCATGTTGTTAGGCGCGCCTGCTAGTTTTTCTTGGAGATTTTCGGGGATCAAATTAGCGACATCGACTTTCAGAATCCCACTGCTGGTCTTTTTAATAGCCTTGCTTTGAATCTGATTCAATGGGGGTTTGTCATCAGCGATAACTCTCAGATATTTGACTTCTTTAGAGAAGTGAATTTTTTCTTCTTGTGTAAATTGCTCTGGGAGTTTGGCCCATTTACCTTTAAGTAAAGTTGAAATTTCGAAACTTGTTATCTTATACCATATCCATTTTCTGCCTGCAAAGGCAATGTGCTGAAAAAATATGTATGTGTATCAGTAGCATACATACATATGTACATGTAAATAGCAATATTCTTGTTTTAACAAATGCCATTTTTACAAAGCATTTCCTATTCATATCCTGTTCTTTTTTCCAATATTTAATTTGATGTTCGCTTTCAAGTTTACTTTGTTTACTTAGTTCAATAGTGTGCGAATAGCGACTTAAAATGGACAGAAGCGATTCAGTCCTGAAAGTATTCAAAGCGGGTCGCGATGCTGGTGCCAGATGAAAATGAAAATCTCCTCTGCATTGGTAAGACGAGGTGGAGAAGGACTTCGGATCTCTTGGCATTTCCAATTGGCGTCGGTTAGCACAGAAGAGAAACAACTCTCGTGCCAATAAAGAAGAAGAAGAAGGGAATACTTGTTAATTATTTTGCTTTTGAGTGTGCGTAAGTTATAGCTTTAGGGAGTTTAGCCCGGAAATCCTTATCCATCAAAATTTTGTTATTTTAGTAGGATCGCCAAGAAGCGTCATATGTTCAATTTCTTTTTTAAGGGACATTCCAGGGAATAGCTATTTTGAGGAAAGCTTTTTAAATTTTCTTTCAGAAAGACTTTTATGTAAAGCTATTGCAGAAATGTCACTGATCCCTTGAATTTTTAGATAGTTTTAGAAATGGTTCAATGATTTCCATTGAGTGGTTAGAGGTGTGTACTACCAATCCCTGATCCGAGTAGCACCTAAATTAAAAAACGTTTTTTCAAACAGTGGTCACCCCTCGGCAGGCAATGGTAATGGTATTATTATGTTGAAAAAGCTTCTCATAAAACAATTTGCCGATGAGAGGCGGCGTGCAATTGTACATATTTCCATTCGTGCTGTAACATCAGAAAGTACGCCACAAATTGGAGCAGAACCTTGGCCAAGCACTTAGCAACAGCGTAAGCGCCAGCGTTGCCATTATAGTCCAATTGCACCAAAATTGATAGCTTAATTTTCCTTTGGTAGTTTGGTTCGTTTGATGAAGTTACGAGAGGTATGTAAAAAATTAGGACGCATTCTTGTTTTCGCACGAATCGATAATCATGAAATTTTCTTTTAATTTTCGATAAAAAAATTTTAAAATTTTCAACTCGAACGAAAACAAGAATACACCACATTTATTTTTATGCAATAAGCTTTGTACAAGAAAAGCCGGCATAAGATTTGTTTGATTGAGATTGCATACTTTCTTGTTGTTTATAGTAACTCTAAAAAATATCTAGTTAAACACCTGAACTTTTTTTCAAACATGAAATGTTTGATATGAATTGAATCGATCACAAAAAGTAATTATTTTTTGGTTTTTCCAAACATAATTTATCTGAAATATATAAAATTTAGCGGCAGCCAATCGTGTGATCGGAAAAATATTGGACTTAACGAAAATCATGCCAAACATTTCTTATAAATTTTTTAAAATGTATTTCGAAAAATGTTATAAACTGGAAAAAATGTACCCATCGTGGTATCCGGCATTTACAAATGCAAAAAAAAATTGTAACGAAATAAATACTCATTGTTCTTATGATCAAAAAATTTGCTAGTTTGGAAACCAATTTGGTAGGCCCTTTGGTACCCAAAAATATTCTCGAGTAGCAACACTGGTAAGCACCAAATATACATATATTTTTTTGATAACCGAAACAGAGTTCCTTCGCAACTGCAAAAAAAATTTACCCACATAGCTTGATAACACCTCCCATTTATTTATTTCAAATAATGAACTTGTTGTAATAAACCCAATTTGATAAACATGTCAGTACAACACGTTCAATTGTTTAAGTCATACCTATTGGCAAATCATCCTCCCAGCCATCCAATCATCCACCCACCTATCTACAAATCATGAAGCAAATATTTAAATTAAAAATCAAAGGATCAATCGCACCTGCTGCATAGAATTTCAACAAAACCTAAAAACACTAGCTGGAATGCCTGTCTGTCTGTCTGTCTACCTCTCGTGCCATTTGCCCGAACTTGAAATTTGAATGGAGTGAATGAAGAAATCAAATGTGCCACATTTTTGCAGACAGCGCATCTGTTTGCAATTTACATACAAACATTTGGATATATTTATGTACACTCATACATACATACATACATAGAGCAACATTTCGGAGCCTTGTGCAGTGGCAAACAATGCCATTGGAAACCATTAACCGCCATCGAATAAAGACAGCTGGAGGGAGCCAACATTTGGGACATTCCGCATAGAAGATATCTGCATGGTGTCAGTGCCGAGGTAAGGATGTCAGCCGTCAAACCGACGCTTCATTTATGCATCGGGCGCCCTTCCTTTTGGGGCCGCTGCTTTGTTTCCATTTCCATTCAATAAATTTTGTTTTTCATAATTCCCAATGGCTGTATGTATACATATATAAAATTTCTTCGCTTTACATTTCTTTTCTTTTGTATTTTCTGCATTGGCACTTTGTGTTATTTATTATTGTATTTTTCTCTAGTTGTTGTTGCTTATAGACATTTGATTTGCGGCTTTTTTTTTGCTACAATTCGATGCCTGCCACATGTCAACATCTGGCATTTGCGAAAACTAATTGTACTGAGCCACATCCATATGTATGTTTGTACGTAAGTGTGTCTATGAATCTTTCCTAGATGATGTACTTAGAGGTAACTATGTATGTATGTGCTTACGTACATATTCATGTATACACAGGAGTACAATCATACACAACAGTGCAAAAAAAATGTGCAAAACGACAGCAGTCAAAGAAAACGGCCGAGAAAATTTCTTTCTTTATACATTTTTATATTAGGAAAAAGTACCCCGCAGCTTGAAATCGTGTGGACACATCTGCAATGCTTACATTTCCTTTCCATATGTATACGGATATATAAACATACTTACATGTCGATGGTCCTCTGCAATAACGACACAACTCAAAACAAAAAAAAAAGTAAAATTCACTACTGTTAGAAGCCGCATGTCGCTAATATTGGTCCAATACATGTCTAGTCCGTACTACTTCAATAATCGTTACTACTTACTTTAGTAAGGATAAGAAATGAATTAGGAAAGGATTAGAAAAAATATGGTTAATTATGCTCTACAAAAAATCTATGGGAAAGATAAAAAATGTTGGTCAATATCTTAGGCTCGCCCAATGCCATTAAAATTCAATGTGTTTAAAAAAATTGTTCTTAGCTTACTTCGTTCGCAAATTTTATAATCTACAAAAAAGGCTATGATACGAAATTATGTGGACTAATCATTTCAGAGACAATTGCAATTTTATTAAAAAGAAAACAGTAATTAAATTTTTATTAATTTTGATTTTTTGTTTATGGGGGAAAAATGTTTAACAAATTTAATTCTTTACAAAACATTTCCTTTTTTGTTAAGAAAACACATTAACGTTGACTTTTTTTTTATAAAGTGTTTAATAAAATCAAATTTCAATTGCTGTAATGTAAACTTTAGTGTAATCATGGGCGTAGCCAGGTAGGGGCAGGGGGTGCTCGAGCACAAACCACTCTCTCCCCCCTAAATATCATTCTGGCTACGCCGATGAGTGTAATGGAAAAATCAAATAAAAATACTCTTTATTATACCACGTTTCTATAAATAGACTAAGAGTAGAATCTAATTTTTACTTCACCCATTGCATTTATTTTGATAACTTTTGAATTTAAAATTTTTGCTATAGCCGTTATAAAAAACTTATGTCTATCACGTTCTTATTTTATGATATTAAAATCAAAAAATTTATATTAAAATAAGCTGTAAATTTTCGATTCGGCGTATTCTTGTTTTCGTACGAATCGAAAATCTTGAAATTTTCCTATGATTTTCTATAGAAAAATTTCATTATAAGTTAACATAAAAATTTGAAATTTAATTATAAATATATAAAAATATATGTACATATGTATGTATGTATGTAAGTGTGTTTTCTTCACAAAAAAATAGTTTTTTGTGAGAAATTTGATTTTTTATACATATATTATCTAATATATATATATTTGTAAATTATTTTTCACCCATAAATGAAAGTTAAAAGAAAATTAATAAAACTAAATTAAGAATTTTTTTACTAAAATTACAATTATCTTCGAAAGTATTATTCCTACATAATTTGGTATCCTAATTTTTTTTGGTAGAGCATTGAATTTGCGATCGGAGTAATTCAAAAAAAAAACTTTTTCAACACATTGAACTTAGATGGACTTGAGCGAGCTTAAGATATTGACCAAAAATTTTCATCTTTGCACAGATTTATTTTAAAGAATATTGCACCTTATTTTTGCTTAGAAACTCTATTGGCCATGCTTCTGCGCCATATACCAGTATGGATCTGATGAGTGACTTACAGAGCGTGGTTTTCGTACGTCGAGAGAGGACTTTACTCCTGAATTGCCTACTCAGTCCAAATGAGCACTTGTTGTAGTTAGACTAAATGAAATAAACTAAATTGGCGCTGTCACGCCCAGTTACCAAAATTCCATAATAATCTTATTTCTTTTCAGGGGATTGTTGTGAGTATCAACTCTGAGAAAATGAGCGTTCTAAACTTTCGAAACAGTAATTTTTGTTAGGCATTATACTAAACTTAGACTTAGCGTTTATTTATGTACATATGTAGTTATGTATGTCCATTCAAAGACTCTGAGGCAACTCATTTTTTTTCTTTTTTTTTCACCAATATGCTTGCTTCCACGATCTTTTCTTCTAGTTGTGGCAACTTCTGCCAAATGCCTAGCAACAAAAATAAGCTAAGTAACAAGCATCATAATAGAATCTGGAATGCTATTGCTTATTTTAAAAGTTTTTAAATTACCCTGTAAGCACTTGTTGAATTCTTTTACTCACAAACCCCGGCCATTATGTGGGCAAGTACACAAGTATGAAAGCCACGAAACAACCGCGGAAGCGCAAACAAAAATGTGGTAATTCTATATTGCGTCTAAATGCGAGGCTTATATTTTCATACTTTTCAACAACCATAATCGGAAAATCACAATTTGTCTACGAATATTTGCGCATCCATTAATCAATGACGTGAAACCTGATGAGTGCCTGAAAAGAATTTCGAAACTTTAAACAAAAGCTAATGGAGTATTTTGCAACCTCCAAATGAAAGCTTGTAAATGGATGTGGATATGTGTGTTTTTGCTCATTCAAGTATATGTATATTCTTAAGCATGCAGTCACACTTTTAACATAAATACATATTCTGTATATCGGAAATAGGCGAAGGGTCCTCAGGCACCTTGGAGCGTGAAATCGCAAATACGTACTGCCAAACGGTGAGATATAATTAATGACTGTTTCAAGAAATCTAATTTAACTGCCTTCGAAAAATCTCAGTGGTGTGGTTTTCGAAGCCAAAGCATTTACGTGAAGAAAATTTAAATGTACTAGAGCTTATTTGAAAAGTTCTCTAGCGGTTGCTATGATCTCGAGAGTTTAGTTTGTCTGTTTAAAAATATTTTTGATTTAACTTCTAATATTCTTAGCATTTGGTACTATCCTACTCGATTCAAATCAGGGTTGTCGCGAATATTCACATTTGCATTCGTAACCGCGGAGCTTCCGCATTAATTTTAACATTCGCAATAATCAATGCGGAGCTTTTGCGAATGCGAATGTTGTGCAAGTGCACTAATAAAACATATATGTATCTGGCAAAGAAAATTACACATTTTACCCAATATTTTTTGTCTGTGGAGATTCGACGCTAAATCGTTTATTTGGTCTTTGTGATAATTTAATCCCTAGAAAATAACAATTTATACGATATATCTACATATTTCGGTCTTCGCTATAAGCTCAAATTTTTTAAACCAGTCACAGAAGAAAGGATTCAAGCTGCACTTAGGGACACGAATTTCGATACCATACGATACCATATCGATATTTTTGCCATTCGATACCAATATTTTCAATTCGATAGTTTTCTAACGCTATTTTTTGGAATAGAGTACCAGAACTCTGGTATCGTCGAATCGTAAATGTACATTATATAAAAAATAATTGTGTTTTGAAGTGAAACTTCTACATCGGCGGTTGGGAGTAAATTGGCAAATTCAACGGAAATTGCACACGGAAATGGTGCAACGCAAATGGTTGGGGCTGAAGCAAGTGCTTCTTGTGTGTATGCATATGGTATTAATTTAACAAAAATTTGCTAATAAAAGGTTAAAGGAAAAATACCAATACAAGAAAGAGAGTAAAGGTGACTACGTACATAGATAAAGAAAATGATAAAGGGAAAGGTACAAATAAAAACAAAAACAAAGATGCGTAAAGATAAAGGCAAAAATGAAGACCAAGGTAAATTTAAACACTTTACTTATATATGTATATAAGCGCAAAGGTGAAGGGGAATATGTAGATGAAGACAACGGCAAACATAAAAGCAAAGACAAAGAGGAGGATGAGGATACCGATAAAAGTAAATGTGAAGATAGGGGAAGAAAGATCAAAATAAAGGTAACTAAAGAGGAAAGGATATAGAGAGAGACACACAGACTCAATCTGGGAACTATTTTGGGAATTTAGAGATTTTCGGAATTCTCGGGACTTATCGATAAAATAATCGATATTTTTATCGGTTTTGTTACCGATATTTTTTCGATACTGTTACTGATTTTGCTATCGATATCTTCGGATCGATTTATCGATTTTGTTGTCGATATTTTTATCGATTTTGTTATCGATATTTATCGATTTTGTTATCGATATATTATTGGATGTTACCATCGATTTTCTTATCGAAAGAGTATAAAGATAAAAACGACGATAAAGGAAACAGAATAACATAAATGTAATTAGAACGAACAGGAGAAGAGGTAGGGATTTAAATAGAAAAAACAAAAAGTATAACCTTAAGCAAAAGCAGCTCTATGTATGTGTGTACATATGTATGACAAAATAGATATGTATGTAACATCAGTTTCACTTCTCCAGCGTGTCCTAGGCGCACATACTCTTTTATTAAATTCGTTTTGATTTGCTTAAGGCAAAGTTAATAGATATGGGCATTTCCAATTTGGCGTAACGTGGCATTTGTATGAAAAAATGTTAAAAAATAATATGTTAAAAACAAAAAAGAAACTCTGATAATTTGGAAGATTATTTATATACCATTTTTTGTAGTAATATTTGAAATATTAAAGGTTAATTTTTCAAGTTGCAAAATGTAAAAATCGTTCCTCCTTTTTATCAGCCGAAGCATCTAACAACTTGTGCTCGAAAGTAAACGGGTATCGCTCCGAGCTTTATCGCTTCTTCACTGCTAGGAGTGTAACTCTCTCCCCTACAAAATCATCAGCTACCTTTTTTACCACCTGAACGAAGGAGGTCACGTTGATGGCACACCAATTCAGATGGTGAATAACCAAAAAATACTCGTAGTAGCTTTCGACAGTCTGATCTTCTTCTCTGCGCGCACCACCGCAGTTGTCGACAAATTACAGAGCCACAACAAGGTCCTCAAGTCGCTAGCCGGCAGTACCTGGGGCAAAGACAAAGAAAAGTTGCTGGCAACATGCAAGGCAATTGGCCGGCCGGTTCTAAATTCCGCAGCACTTCGGACAGCGACCGGATGTCTTCTGATGTCGCCAGAACATCACCTACATGACGAGACGCAAATACCATCCATAAGGGAGCACAACACAATGATCTGCAAGTAGTTCATAGTAGGGAGCCATGGACGTGGACACCCGAACAAACACGTGCTAGCTGAGGAGCCCTCGCGAAGGCTTGTCAGAAGGTATCTGTACGAACTGACGGTCGAAGTCCAGAGGTTCATAAAGCAAACGTTCCGGATCCATTAGCATATCGACAGTCCATGAGCGGCATTCACAGGGAGTCATTCCGAAGTTACGTAGACTCCAGACCGGTGAATGTCGTTCTGGGCTCACAACCACCTGACGTAGATGAGACAGAGCTTCGTCTACCTCGAGAGACTCATACCACATTAGCCCAACTTCGCCCCGGCTACTTCAGCAGGGTAAATTCATACCTGAGCAGATTAGATGCAGATGTGCCAAATGAGTGCCTAGCATGTGCATAGACACCCCACGACTCGAAATATCTCTTCGCATGCCCGGAAATCCGCATACAGCTAACGTCTTTGTCCCCATGGACATACCTTATAGAGGCTGCAAGCTTCTTGGGCCTTCCGTTAAGCGAGCTTGACGACAACGACTGAGATACCAGCCGCTCTGGGCGTGGTCGTTGTAGCCGCTACAACAACAACAACAACTTTAATTTGCAGATCATAATTTAAGTGTACGAGTATTTTTACTGTGGCAATATGGTCTTTGATGTACAAAATAATGGTCCGTTCGTTGATATGTGCCACTGTGACACTCGACAAACAAACCAAATACAAACACAAAAAACGGGTACGTTATACATACATACGCATATATGTAGGGCTACTTTGCGCAGCAACACATTTGGCGCACTGCAGGTGGAGTCACGCTGTCTGGCCAAGTTTTGGAACAGCAAAAGAAAACCATAAGCAAACCGAACCGAATGGCGCAAAAGGTGTTTTACTAATTGGTAATCGATATAGTTACTACAAGTAAATGCCACACTGCCATATCGCCATAATCGGCCTCGTTGCTATCCTTCTTGCCATTCGTCGACGTCATGATCAGCGAAACGACGAAAAAGCTTCATGCCGGCTTCCGCACTTCATTAAACTCGGAAGCCACATTTTAAAGTGCGCGTGCAACGAGGGAAGACAAAAAAAAATTCCTGTCAATAACGATGAGACTCATTAGCAGCAAGAGCCATATGCATCCACATGTATGTAAGTATGTATGTATATGAGTAGCAACAGCCTTTCGTTGTTCTTCGCACTGCTTCCGACGGAACGCATAAGGTATCTGATTTCATTTGCACAGCCAACGCCGGCGGAAGCAATGCCGGGCCTCCTGCTCGTCTGCCCGTAATAATCACCTGTGGCGACAATGAATTCTGCTGTAGAGGGTAACATTTGTTGCAAGTTGTTGCAGCAACGCCACTTAGCCAGTTCGAAACAGCATTGTGATCGGCGTTTCCACCTTTGCCGTCCCTTGCCGCACTAGATTAAATAATATTGTTGCTACTACCCTTGTCACAAGACACATATTCGCACTAAGGCACGATTCAAAATATCAAATTTCCATTTCCGTTTTTCCAACAGCCTACTTGACGCACACTTACTACCTACGCATGTGTTTATTGCCGGTGTCACAAGCGAGTATTTCGTATTGAATTCACTGGGAAACTCCACTTGAAACGAGTGGCTGTGGCTGTCGCAAAATTGTAAGTGCGCTGTGCGCTTTCACCACCACCTCCGTCTCACGAAGGAAGCGAACAGTGAAGCTTTTTTTGTGTTTTTACTCTAAAAAAAAAAAAAAACAAATTGCAAATAAGCATTCTTTTTGGTCGGTGTTCTAATCTAGCTCATGTCATTTCAGTGCTAAAAATCCAGTATTTCCTTGAACATAAATTTGGGAATTTGGACACGAAAGGAGTCCGAGATTACCGGGAGAAGAAAGAGCAAGATTACGTCTTTTTAAAAGAAAAAAAACAGGAGAAAAAAGAAACGTGAGAGCGAGTTGTTTTAGATGTTGATAGGCAGCAGCGCAGAATGAAAATTGAATCGAAGTACTGGGTGGCCATAACATGATTTTACGATCAGATCGGACTTCGGAAGGCGGAATTCTGGTAAAAGACGACCATATCACACTTCTAAAATCGTGGAACTCATTCTAAAACTCTTGAAAAGTGTATACAGCAAGTAGCTTGTTCGAGGGGAAGGAGCAGCCCACACCAAAGTATAATGATGCGACCCAAAAGCCCCTACTTTGCCAAATGCATAAGGTGAATAATCTTACTATTCACACCAATTACCGACACCTGTGATAGAGATCCTACTCTTCCTCTCCAACTTCGATTCGAAGTAGTGGTCAAGATGCATCTCACTCTAAGCTAAGGAGTATAAGGAACTGCTATGAGGACTCCCATCAACTACCTCATCGCACAGAGTGGCATTCTAAAGGCTGGTACTAGTTTCCACCAAATGCTGTCATTGGGTCCATCGGAATAATATCGGGAATCTTCTCCGAAAGGGAACGGACTCAGCTCTCTTCTCTTGTGACAAAGACGATGAACGCTGGATGATATATTTAGCTTTATCTAACAGGGAACGAGGTAATATTCCTTGACGTAAAACACTGCGGATTCATTCAATTAAGCGAGTATGTTAAAAGGAAGCATGTCCAGTCTTCGATAAGAAAGGGGCTCTCTGCGTTTCACCTAAGGGAAGCTCTGCATTGTTGAGCTTCAAAGGCTCTGGAAACCTGAGCTGATTGAGCTTTATCAGCATGGCTTTAGGATTGTGCTCTATAGTGCACAACCTTCTGCTCCATCCGAATTGGGATGAACCTCACCACGCCGTTTCAGACCAACGAAAAGTTAGCTATTCAATCCGACCAAAAGAGCTCGGAAGTCTGCACTTCCAAATGTTGACAGTTAGTTGGGGTTAGACTTAACTTAATTAACACTCTTCGTTAAATCGGAATATTTCTCTGCTACTCTTCTTCTTACACTGTGCGGCTTTTCGATCAGCTTTAATCAATAAATGCTACTTTGGTTTAGTCTCAGCGGATATCGATGCCGAAATGAGGAAGTGGAAGCGGACTTTGTCACGCGTGATTGGTTTTATCTATTCCAAATGGGGTTGCATGTCTACATACATATGTACAAATAAACGTTTACACATTCTTGCTTTAACAAAAATCACAAAAAGTACTTACAACAATGCAATTAAACACAAAGCTCATATGCAAGTATGTATAAGTGCAATGTGTATAGATTCACAAGAGCATACATATTTATGCAACAACAGTCGTTTCTACAGCAGGGACGTTGCGCGAATGTCGCATCCTGTTTCCCATAAGCATCGATGAATCGCTGCCACTTGCCATTTGCCACGTCGTAATCGAATGCGTCACCTCCCCCTCATCGTTGCCAAGTGTTGCACATTGATTGTGTGCCACACTGTTGACAATTTCGACGAACTTTACTTCAACTGCCACATACATACATATACATATGTATATATAGCCTCTTCATTATTTGACTCTGCTTCGCTAACTTAAATACCACGTATTTGTACATATCTATGTACGTATATATTTACTTACAATCGCTTTGTTGTTGTGCGTGCGTTGACATGCTTCGTGACGCACCGTGTGGCATTGAATTACCTCTGTTAAATATTGGATGTGTCTTACTGCCACTTCAACAATCCAAATCACTGGTTGCTGCTGCTGTTTCTGTGAGAAGAAGCTCATTTGGGAAAAGGTGAAAATCGTCGCGGTAAATTGCCAATAAAAATGTCTTCGGAAATTGCAAGATTCACACGAATCAAATGCTTAAAGGTACATAAAACATATACATATACATTCGTACATGTACCTACATAATTATGTCTGTGTTTCTGAGTGTTTGATAAGGGAATGTTTTGTTGTTTGTTTCCCATATATTGGGTAATCAACTGATTGCTTTGTACTCAGATGCAGACATCCATATGGGCATATGTATGTAAGTATGTTTGTACATACATATGTGTAAAGGTACGTGTGTATCCACCACTACTTTGGACGCCATCGGCGTAGCCAGAATGAAATTTAGGGGGGGCCTCGACCCTATTAAGCTGGCATTTCAGGGTAATATTTTATATATATATATAAGGAAAATTTGAAAGTTAGTGGGGGGCTCGAACACCCCCCCGCCCCTACCTGGCTACGCCCATGTGTGTATCTCATCCCAGTATTTATATGTACATATCTCGCTATGTACTATGCAGTGTATAGGAATCTTAATTTGCGCAAACAAAAGTCACTGAACCAACCACTTTCTCTGCGGAGAATTTTTGATGAAGTGGCGGCAAGGACAACAACAACAAACCTATACCTATTTACAATACGCACTACAAAACAAAGGCAATAATAATATCGGTTGACAATGAAATAACAACAACAACAACAACAGTATTAGCAATACCATAAGTGATGATGGCAGAACGAAAAGTGTCAGCTTCGCGTTTTGAGTCAATTTGAAAAGCATCTCAAATTTCTTCTCAAAAAAAAAAGAAAGCAAAACAAATAAAGTGGTGCCAGCTCCTGGCATCGCAGCCCTTTTACGTTCGGTCCATGATGAGATATGTCTATGCGAAGTTTCGGAATGCGAATGCGAATGTTAGGAATAACATTAAAAAAGCTAGAATCTACATCCGAGCCTTCGCTTTGCTGGAGGCATCTAAAAAAAAAATAGTTCTAGGTTGCTTATACGACTTTTAGCAGTACTTGTTAAGGGCCCATCAATGTTGCTTGATATACTACTTGACCGTTTACTGAAGCTAAAAGCCGGTTATTGTACGCACCCTGGTTAGACAATCGCTCTAATCATTTCAACAATATTAAAGTGGACTCTCTGCCCATGTGTACATTCGCATTCGCAGAACATTCATAGCATTTGATGAGAATGCGAATGCGTAAAATGATGCGAATCATTCGCATAACGAATGCGAATGCAAATATTCGCAACATTCCTGGTATGTACATAAACATATGTATGTACGTATGTAAGTAGTAGGGGCTGTTGTAACGAAGTAGGGGAAACGTTTTTAGGTAAAGCAAAGAAATGCTTAAAAGGCTTCTTCCTGTCACGCTGTCAGAAGGCATTTTCCTCATTCCTATCAACTACATAGACACTCGCATTCCGGTCCGGCTGGTTCTTTATGCCTGAAAAAAAACTGCTGTGGGAACTTACGTGTTGGCAATCTAAACAAAACATTTTAGAGGTAAATATAAAATTCTTAGTTCTTAGCTCGAAATGAAGTAAAGACGTAAATCAATAGAGTTCTGTTAGAAATTAGCGAAGAACAAAAGCACATTACAAAAAAACGTGTTTTTTTTCTATTCCTTGGAAAATGTGTAACTTTTTGGATGCCAAACAAGTTAATGGAAAAATATTTCTGAGATCTGATAATTCAGTGCCCACATATGTATATATTATTAATAATTGAATCTTTGGTAAAGGACTGTTTGCAGCTCTTAAGAAAAACGAAAAATTCATAAAAAAAAAGACGCACAAAAAATGGAAAAGAAATTTTCTTCAATTAAAATTTCTTAAAGCAGTTGACAGCTCAAAAAATGCTGAATATTCATTTCTTAAAGAAAATTACAGCAAAAGCAAAGTACTTTTACAACAAACAGAAATAATGAAAAATATTTGTGATTTTTCTTGAGAGCTGCAAATAGCCTTAGGGGCTGATCAAATTTATAAACTTACATGGGTCTAAATACATACTATGTATGTATATATTTACATACATTCTTGTGCACATTGAATTGGCTATATTTGAAAGAAACAAGTAATTTTTAAGCAAAAAACAAAACCAACTTCAATTCTCATATAAAAATTTAGGAATACCGGAGCTTTTTCATGATCCAATGATCGGATCTAAACCAGTTTACTACGGGACCACCTCTGAGACACTAAGTTTCCGATGCAAATGTTTTCCAAACAAAATACATTTGGCATCAAGAGAAAAGCGTGAATAACTTTCGTCTCGATGCATTGCGGCGAAATTTTTTTTCTGCAAATAATTACCAATAGAACGTACAACAATATTAGCCCAAAACTCGATTTTAAAGCCATTGAGATGTCAATTTAATAACTTTTATAAAAAAAATGTATGGCCGCCGCCGATTTCACCAGAAATTTAAATGGAAAATGATTTCTTATTTTCTGTCAATTTCCATATAAAATTCAGAAAATAAAAATCATTTTTTAATTAAATTGCTTTCGTGAAATTGGCCGTTAATACATATTTTTATGATGAGTATAATAGGCGGACTACAAGAGCGTGCAATTGCTGGCTTATGCCGATGACATCGACATCATCGGTAACAAAAACCGCGAAGTCTGTTCTGCCTTTTCCAAGTTGGATAGGGAAGCAAAGCGCATGGGTCTGGTGGTAAACGAGGACAAGACGAAGTATCTCCTGTCATCAAACAAACAGTCAGCACATTCGCGCCTTGGCACCCACGTCACTGTTGACAGTTACAATTTCGAGAAAGTAGAGAATTTCGTTTACTTGGGAACCAGCATTAACACCGATAATAATGTCAGCATTGAAATCCAACGTAGAATCACTCTTGCCAACAAGTGCTACTTTGGACTGAGTAGGCAATTCAGGAGTAAAGTCCTCTCTCGACGTACGAAAACCACGCTCTATAAGTCACTCATCATGCCCGTGCTGGTATATGGCGCAGAAGCATGGACAATGACAACATCCGATGAGGCGGCTCTTGGGGTGTTTGAGAGAAAGATTTTGCGGAAGATTTACGGTCCTTTACGCGTTGGCGACGGCGAGTACCGCAGACGATGGAACGATGAGCTGTATGAGCTTTACAACGATATGGACATAGTGCAGCGAATTAAAATACAGCGGCTCCGCTGGCTTGGTCATGTCGTTCGAATGGACACCGACGCTCCAGCTCTGAAAGTATTCAACTCGGAACCCGCTGGTGGTAGCAGAGGAAGAGGGAGGCCTCCACTGCGATGGAAAGATCAGGTGGAGAAGGACTTGGCTTCACTTGGCGTTTCCAATTGGCACAGAGGAGAAACGACTGGCGTGCTTTGCTGAACTCGGCCAAAATCGCTTAGGCGGTTACAGCGCCAAAAAAGAAGATAATAGGCGGACTCTTTCTGTAAGTTTCTGCAAGAAATGGATTCTTCGACCCCAAAAAACCCCAGATACACATTTTGGCTAGTTTTCAATACATCTGTTTCAACAGGGGATCCACTTTTTGAAAAAAAAAACTAGATAGTAAAAAACGCTGACTTGCAATTAATTTTAGACCTTTGGTTTCTTGGGCAAAAATGCTTGAAATGACCCAAATAATCCTAATCGCGATGTGCCTTTGATGCAAAAAATTTGTCTCGCCCTAATGTACATGTACGGGATTAGTATTGGTGTCACTTAGAATTGATTTTTTCGCTTTATGTTAAACTAATTTGAAATTTAAAAAATTGTCCGCACATTAGCATCAAAATATCGTTCTAATGATATATAATTGTTTATACCTTATAGGCATGGTTTAGCAGTAAAAGAGGTGTAAAAAAACATGATTGCCTTTTTGTATATAAGATGATGATTCAAATGCATAAGCAAGTTAACAAAAATTTTACAAAATCGGTTTCAATCGAACGGTATTTGAAAATGCTTTAGTACAGACAAATCTTAAGAATAATTTTTGGTAGCTATCAATGTCAGTTCAGGATCTGATCTAGTTCGGGCTGAGTTCGAAATCAGTTGAGGACCTGTTTGGATTAGTTCGTGGCAATTTGGAACCTATTCCAGGTTTATTTCGAACTAGTCCGAGACCATTCCAGGTCCGGCATACATGATTGTAAACTCTATTTAATTTTACTTTTTTCATGGGCATAAAAATCATAATAAAAAAACGAATCCTTAATTATTTACTTTTGTTTAGAATTTATTGCTTGTGTTACCTATGTACAAACATATATGAATTTACAATGTACAAACATACTTTCTTTCTAAATAGTAGTTTCAAGAAAAAATTTTAAACAAAAAACTTTCATTCCCCCTCTTCATGTTTTTTCGCTTGACATAAACAGCATCTATAAAAAATACACAGGTAACCAATTTTCCTGAAACAGCAAATTACACTAGTGAACCCGTATAGCGCTAAAATGGCGTTGGCCAAGTAATTGGGATACATTTAAAAAAAAGTGGTATAATTAATTGTCTTTGCATCGTTTCACCCCGTATCTTCAAAAAAAGCCCTTACTTCAAAAAATAAAACCTTATTGCATATCTACAGATCTTTTTTTTTTAATTCGAAAGAACAGTGCAGATCTGGGGCATGTAACACAAAGTTTACAATTGTAACAAGTCTACAAGTTATTAAGGATTCGTTTGTAGCTACAAGTTCTATAATTTTTTGTAACACAATATTATTTTGAAGAGCCTTGATTTAATTATTTACAAGCTCGAGCTCTTTTTAAAATCGACTATCCGGCTACTCGCTTAGTCGACTAGTCGATTAGCAACTTTTTTGTCGGTTGATAGTCGAATAGCAATTATTCAATTAACCGATCACCATCGAGTAGTCTAAAAATCGACTAACCGAAATTATTCGAATAGTGACAGTTTTTCACCATAAAATTATTTGTATTAGCGCGGTTGGGTTTTGTCAATAAGCAAATATACGAAAAAAATAAAAATACTTACTCAAAGAAAACAACTAGTCGAGAAATCATAGTACTAATTTAAAGTATCGCCGTAAAAATATCAGGTACTCATTATTAGCGGGATAAAAAAACCCGATATTCCCAATATCAATACCAAATTCATAAAATTAAATTAGAATATTGGACTATTTAAAAGCCCAAAATATAACCATATTACTTTACATATCTATTCCAAAGTGTAGACATATGGGCTTCGCCAGCGGTAATTCATAGTGCGACATAGATTTGCAATTAATGGAACCGCTAGGGTGCGCTTAAGTCAAAATAAAAAAATATATTCGACATAAAATTCATATTATATTTGCTTTAAAAATTAATTTACAAACCAATTAACAAAAAAGCTTCAATGGAGATTTTAGTAACGTAATTTCTTGTAACGTAACTTTGTAATGCGTCTTTGCGATTAGATACGACACAAGGGTTCTGTTACTCGATTCCAAAAAATATAGTTTGAGTGTGTTCGTTGTGTTACGAAAATAGAGTACAATTGTACAAAAAGTTCAGTAACTACAAGTACGGCACTTGTAACTACAAGTTGCTTTGTCTTAAAGCTCAGTTATTCAAGACTCAGACTTGACTTGACTTGACTTGAAAATTGTATATCTGGCAAATGAGCAGCGCGTGTATGTGGTTACCCAAAAAACCAACTTCACTTCGAAACAAGTTAAATTTCTAAGTGCAAAGAGAGCCGTGAGAGAATCATGCTGCCATTTCATGTTTTCATAAAATCCCTATAAATATGCCACAAAAATAGAATTTTTGGTATAAATGTAATTCATCTGGCAATCGAAAAACAAACTTCCAAATAAAGAGAGAAAATTAAATAAAACAATCACAATTTCAAACGCGTAAATACATTTTTTTTTATAGTAATATTTAAACAATTTCGGTGAAAAAACAAGCTAAACGATTACAAGTTACGTGTACATATACAAGTGCTGAGAATCAAAACAAAGAGAAAAGGTAATAGTTGGCATACTCAGCGTGCATCGCGTCTAAGTTTCTAGGTAAGGCAAGTCAAGTCTAAGTCTTGCATAACCCAGCTTTTAAAAATATCTACACTTGTTCAATTTATTTGAAAACTTGTAGGACTTGTAGCGCTTGTGTGGCAGGCCCCTGATCTCTTTTACAAAAAATTCCTTCACGTATTCGAACACCCATATTTTGTTACAAAAATATGCATGTATTTCATATACCTAACTCCCTTACTCTTTTAAACGGGTGGCAACACTCCTACATATTTATCAGAAATGAAGCCTTTCAAACCAATTTCTTGTAATACCCATATTTTAATAACTGATTTAACTTATTAAATAATTTTAATTAAAATGTTTAACAGGTGGCAATACTTTTCAAAAAAATAAATACTTAGTACACATCTACAGGTCAAGCCCTTTAATATCACACCCCATTTTGGATAATCGAACGAATGCAAATCTGATGATATTCAAATGTTGTATACTCGTGTTATAAGTAGAATCCAATCCCATAAAGAGAACATAAAACTTCACGTGCAGTTTGACCCTCCCAAAGTTTACTTGATACCAGGAATAAAAACTGGAAATTTCAGATTGTACCTATTTTTGACGTAGAATACGTCTTACCTTAAGGTATGGGGGCTATGTTCAAATGTTGTAGTTGTAATTTTTAGAGCTTCACAAAAACGTTTATTGCACGAGAACTAATAAAGCGATTTCAAAGAAAAGTGTGGCGTTTCAAAGATAAAATTCCAAACCTGTCGACAGATTCATTTTTGTAAATAACCAATTCGGTTTCTGTCGTAAAAACAACGGTAAACATTG